ATGTCAGCCCAATCAGCAGCAACTGTATGTAAACCACGTGGTATTAAAGAGACAGCTGGCACAATGTAATTATCATCAAAATAAATTCACAGAGCAAGTATATTGTTTGCACATGTTTATTTACATTAAAGGCAAAATAACTTAAATAATAAGGGCACAAGTATAGATCTGGAACTTCTTTAAGTCTGTCTAAATATCATTTAGTAATTGCAATCATATGCTTTCCTTAGGAAGGTGTGCTAGACACTGATTAATGTAACATAAAAATACTATGCATATTTATATATTTTGTATTGTATTGTGGAGTGACACTTTCATAAACTTTTCTATACTCCTCCGATTACATAATGGTAAATATTACAATGTCATAGCACAACAACAGTGATCAGCAATAATGATAAGCCTAATACTCACAATAAAAATAATAAGGTCATATAGATCATAACACAGTCTCGGAGGTAAGAAGTGGATTATCCTTCACCTGAAATGTTTGTCTTTTCATCCTGAAATGCGAGGCAAATGTTTGATCACAATAATTAGGAACCACAGTTTCCACAAATCCCTTCACTCGATTGGGATGCTCTCTTTTATTCTGGAAGGCAAGGGCCGTGACTGTAACATCAAGCGTATTTTGCAGTATTAAACACGTATTTATACCGATTTCATCAGGCTCCGAAAATTCTTCAAAAAGAGCACAAAAAATGGCCTTCTCAGCTGCCATAGCTGCAACTCTTGCGTCATCAGAACAGAGTGTTCAACGCACCACCGTTTCCGCTTAAACAACGTTTTGCACCGTTTTGTCAGGGCTGAACGCAGCCCTGGCATAAGTTTAGCAAATTTCGTTTGGTGACCAGTGGTGCAGAAAGTAAACATAGCGTGCAACTCAATGAAAAGGATGTTTTTTTTGTTTTTTTTATGAGCATACTGTTGATTTCAAAATTTGGTATATTGTGAATTTACTCATTATATATGGAAAATGCTTAATCCACAAATGTAAATGGACAGTGAAAAAAAATTACGCATTTTAAAATAGGTCACTACCTGTATACGTTAAATGAAACAAGAAATAACAAAGCGAAAAAAACCTGTAAATTATTTTAAAGCCTATTGTTTGAATAATTTGTAACTATTTGTACTTGTTTATTAAGGACATATGATTTCCTTATTGCTTTCCCTATTTGATTATTTTTTATTGTCTTTGTTTATTATTATATTTGTTTTGATGTAATTTATATGTTATTGCCCTTATATGTTCGTTGTTCTAAAAATTGCAATTAAAAAAAATTTAAAAATTAAACAATAGCGCTCAACAGTCTGTTCTGGAAGTAAAAACGCCATTCATTTTTTCCATTATATGACTTATATGATGCATTTCGTGTATTTGGCCCAAGTGTTCAAGTGAGGATGAAGACCACAAGTGTCTGTTAATCATTTAATTACCTGATGGGACACACTTATAGTGTCGTAAAAATGCAAGTGTTTACATAGCTTTATTTTTATTTTAAATATTTTGCATTTTAAAATCAACTCCTAAATGTCTGTTCAGTAGTCCCTATAACATGACACAATTTAATTTGTGGTGCTTCTAATTAAGTGATGAAAAGCAGTTGCGAATGTACAAAATAAATATCACCACAATCTTTGCACCAATAAAACAACACTTTGTTTTTCTACCAAATTGTACTAATAACTTACATTGGAAAGGTTTCCATGACCTCTCGCGAGATCTCTGCAAAAATCTCACGATTTATTCAAAAGCATGATGCATGATGGAAAACACTAAGCCTTGAATAGGTGCGACAAAAAAAAACTGCGACAAAAATCGGTTTAACCAATGGCGTGCGTTTGGGGCAGGGCTATCTGTTAGCGTGACCAATGGCAGGTGGCTTGTTCTGGAAACCTTACAAAAGTGCGTAACAGTTGGTTCCAGAAGTAAAAATGCCATTCATTTTCTCCATTGAGAAATAGATTTTTAACGATAAATATCGCAGGGAGCAAATCGCGCCAAACGAGCG